TAATTCAAGAGCTCTAACACCAGCTCACTCAATACCCCGATCTAATTCAAGAGTTTTAACACCAGCTCACTCAATACCTTGATCTAATTCAAGAGCTCTAACACCAGCTCACTCAATACCCCGATCTAATTCAAGAGCTTTAGCACCAGCTCACTCAATACCTCGATCTAATTCAAGAGCTCTAACACCAGCTCACTCAATACCCGATCTAATTCAAGAGCTTTAACACCAGCTCACTCAATACCTTGATCTAATTCAAGAGCTCAAACACCTGCTCACTCAATACCTCGATCTAATTCAAGAGCTCAAACACCAGCTCACTCAATACCCCGATCTAATTCAAGAGCTCAAACACCAGCTCACTCAATACCCCGATCTAATTCAAGAGCTCAAACACCAGCTCACTCAATACCCCGATCTAATTCAAGAGCTCAAACACCAGCTCACTCAATACCTTGATCTAATTCAAGAGCTCTAACACCAGCTCACTCAATACCCCGATCTAATTCAAGAGCTTTAACACCAGCTCACTCAATACCCCGATCTAATTCAAGAGCTTTAACACCAGCTCACTCAATACCCCGATCTAATTCAAGAGCTCAAACACCAGCTCACTCAATACCTTGATCTAATTCAAGAGCTCTAACACCAGCTCACTCAATACCCCGATCTAATTCAAGAGCTTTAACACCAGCTCACTTAATACCTTGATCTAATTCAAGCGCTCAAACACCAGCTCACTCAATACCTCGATCTAATTCAAGAGCTCAAACACCAGCTCACTCAATACCTTGATCTAATTCAAGAGCTTTAACACCAGCTCACTCAATACCCCGATCTAATTCAAGAGCTTTAACACCAGCTCACTCAATACCCCGATCTAATTCAAGAGCTTTAACACAGCTCACTCAATACCCCGATCTAATTCAAGAGCTTTAACACCAGCTCACTCAATACCCCGATCTAATTCAAGAGCTTTAACACCAGCTCACTCAATACCTTGATCTAATTCAAGAGCTCAAACACCAGCTCACTCAATACCCCGATCTAATTCAAGAGCTCTAACACCAGCTCACTCAATACCCCGATCTAATTCAAGAGCTTTAACACCAGCTCACTCAATACCTTGATCTAATTCAAGAGCTCAAACACCAGCTCACTCAATACCCCAATCTAATTCAAGAGCTTTAACACCAGCTCACTCAATACCTTGATCTAATTCAAGAGCTCAAACACCAGCTCACTCAATACCTTGATCTAATTCAAGAGCTTAAACACCAGCTCACTCAATACCTCGATCTAATTCAAGAGCTCAAGCACCAGCTCACTCAATACCTTGATCTAATTCAAGAGCTCAAACACCAGCTCACTCAATACCCCGATCTAATTCAAGAGCTCAAACACCAGCTCACTCAATACCCCGATCTAATTCAAGAGCTCTAACACCAGCTCACTCAATACCCCGATCTAATTCAAGAGCTCTAACACCAGCTCACTCAATACCTTGATCTAATTCAAGAGCTCTAACACCAGCTCACTCAATACCCCGATCTAATTCAAGAGCTCTAACACCAGCTCACTCAATACCTTGATCTAATTCAAGAGCTCTAACACCAGCTCACTCAATACCCCGATCTAATTCAAGAGCTCAAGCACCAGCTCACTCAATACCTTGATCTAATTCAAGAGCTCAAACACCAGTTCACTCAATACCCCGATCTAATTCAAGAGCTCTAACACCAGCTCACTCAATACCTTGATCTAATTCAAGAGCTCAAACACCAGCTCACTCAATACCTCGATCTAATTCAAGAGCTTAAACACCAGCTCACTCAATACCTCGATCTAATTCAAGAGCTCAAGCACCAGCTCACTCAATACCCCGATCTAATTCAAGAGCTCAAACACCAGCTCACTCAATACCCCGATCTAATTCAAGAGCTCAAACACCAGCTCACTCAATACCCCGATCTAATTCAAGAGCTTAAACACCAGCTCACTCAATACCTCGATCTAATTCAAGAGCTCAAGCACCAGCTCACTCAATACCCCGATCTAATTCAAGAGCTCAAACACCAGCTCACTCAATACCCCGATCTAATTCAAGAGCTCTAACACCAGCTCACTCAATACCCCGATCTAATTCAAGAGCTCTAACACCAGCTCACTCAATACCTTGATCTAATTCAAGAGCTCTAACACCAGCTCACTCAATACCCCGATCTAATTCAAGAGCTCAAGCACCAGCTCACTCAATACCTTGATCTAATTCAAGAGCTCAAACACCAGCTCACTCAATACCCCGATCTAATTCAAGAGCTCTAACACCAGCTCACTCAATACCTTGATCTAATTCAAGAGCTCAAACACCAGCTCACTCAATACCTCGATCTAATTCAAGAGCTCAAGCACCAGCTCACTCAATACCCCGATCTAATTCAAGAGCTCAAACACCAGCTCACTCAATACCCCGATCTAATTCAAGAGCTCTAACACCAGCTCACTCAATACCCCGATCTAATTCAAGAGCTCAAGCACCAGCTCACTCAATACCTTGATCTAATTCAAGAGCTCAAACACCAGTTCACTCAATACCCCGATCTAATTCAAGAGCTCTAACACCAGCTCACTCAATACCTTGATCTAATTCAAGAGCTCAAACACCAGCTCACTCAATACCTCGATCTAATTCAAGAGCTTAAACACCAGCTCACTCAATACCTCGATCTAATTCAAGAGCTCAAGCACCAGCTCACTCAATACCCCGATCTAATTCAAGAGCTCAAACACCAGCTCACTCAATACCCCGATCTAATTCAAGAGCTCAAACACCAGCTCACTCAATACCCCGATCTAATTCAAGAGCTTAAACACCAGCTCACTCAATACCTCGATCTAATTCAAGAGCTCAAGCACCAGCTCACTCAATACCCCGATCTAATTCAAGAGCTCAAACACCAGCTCACTCAATACCCCGATCTAATTCAAGAGCTCTAACACCAGCTCACTCAATACCCCGATCTAATTCAAGAGCTCTAACACCAGCTCACTCAATACCTTGATCTAATTCAAGAGCTCTAACACCAGCTCACTCAATACCCCGATCTAATTCAAGAGCTCAAGCACCAGCTCACTCAATACCTTGATCTAATTCAAGAGCTCAAACACCAGCTCACTCAATACCCCGATCTAATTCAAGAGCTCAAACACCAGCTCACTCAATACCCCGATCTAATTCAAGAGCTCTAACACCAGCTCACTCAATACCCCGATCTAATTCAAGAGCTCTAACACCAGCTCACTCAATACCTTGATCTAATTCAAGAGCTCTAACACCAGCTCACTCAATACCCCGATCTAATTCAAGAGCTTAAACACCAGCTCACTCAATACCCCGATCTAATTCAAGAGCTCAAACACCAGCTCACTCAATACCTCGATCTAATTAAGGGCTCTCATTTATAAAACTGTGCGTAGGATCCTTACTAAAACTGTACGTGCGCCGAAAGCCAAAAATGGCGTACGGCAAAAATATATTCAGACATATAAAACAATGCGTACGTCAGAGCTTGCGCGGAATTCAGTTTATAATCCCAGTCAGCGTAAGATTGTTCACATGCGTCTCCTCCCCGAAATAACAATATATGATTACAACGCCTCGTTTTACTATGCATATCCTCATCTGCATATCATTTGCATATGATTATTCATCCACGTGATAACATGTTTAACGGTACAAGATATTAGGAAAATATGAGATACGCATGTGCGTCACATTACATTAATAAAATGATTTAGTAGTCTATCATTGCCTTGTTTTTGATTAAATAAATCAAATAGTGTAAAATACATTTCAGAGTAAGTTTTTTTTTTTCAATCTTTTCCACTGGCCAAATAGTATTTTAATTGATTTATATTTTTAATGGAAACATAGACCTTATTGTGCATTATTTGCACAAAACTATTTTATCAGACAATCTGCTATTATCATGATCAGCAATTATCTCTGTAGTTAAAACATTAAAACACAGCATGCCAGAGGAAAAGTGTTCAAAAGCATCGCATCCACAACAAATATTGCTATTTATTAAATATAAAAAATGTTGTAACTTCTCAGTAATGATTTTGTGTACTTAAGTGTTAACTCCATTAGAGAATGGTATATTTAATCTAAATGTTTATATCAGAAGTAAAACATAGTTTAAATCATTCTTTTATTTATTTAAAGTGTAATGGTGAACATGCATAGTATTTATGATTAGGACTCATAATGAAGATTTACGGTTTCCTTCATCTGCTGTTAGATAGGATATATATGCGTCAGTTTCACTAAACGGCCCAACGCGCTCGCCGGCACGGACATTTAAGAAGGAATGGATATTTGCTACAAGTGATAGGTTTGGTGAGTGAAATTATATTTGTATAATTTTCTTTAGATTTTCTGTCTTAAAGACATTAACTCCAGCTCACCATCGGTGTCGCCAAACTGCTCCGTCTCCAAAACGTTTGTATGCATGTGCTTGCAGGTGCAGGTTAACATTTTGCCTATTATATTGCGCGATGGGGCCTGTACAACAAGCAATCGAAGGCATTTAGTGAGCTGATGTTTTGAGTGAACTCTATTGAACGTGTTAAATAACACTCTTACTCTTTCCTTCCCTTTTAAAGTCACCATGAAATCAAAATGGAGACACACACACACACACACACACACACACACACACACACACACACACACAAGCTCTTGCATTTAAAGAGACACAAAAACGACGCATTTCGATTTGTTCACCTTCAAAAAGTGACAACTTTAACATGCTATATAAAAATATCTGTGGGGTATTTTGAGCTAAAGCTTCACACACACACTCTGGGGACATCAGAGATGTATTTTACATGAGTGAAAAGGGCATTATAGGACCCCTTAAACTCTTTATTGTCATCCTTTATTGTTGTACTTGCTCAGTGTAAGCCTGTGATAACACTGATGTCTGGTTGACCAGGAGGGGCGTTTTACACTCCTGAGACGATAGACACGGCCAGGCTTCACTACCGTAGCTCGTGGGCCTCTGTCCTGCACGCCGAGGCTCTGTGGCTCAGCAGCACCGGCTTCGGCACCTGCACCGTCTCCGGCACGGCTGAGGACTGCACCGAGAGCAAGAGCGCTTCCACCACGGCACCCGGCGGAAGCACTGATGATCTGGTGAAGGACCGATTGCACCTCCTCCTGGGTAAATGATCCGCAAGTGCATGTGGATGTGTCACATTTGCTCCCCCAGTGTGTAAAGTGCCGTTTTGTCCCGTTGTTCCAGGCATCAGCATTGAGTTCCTGTGCTTCCCTCGGGCCGAGGAGCCCATAGAGGACGTGATGTCGTGTCTGCACGCGCTCTGCACGCTGATGGACTCGCCCAGCGCTCGCACACACATCGCAGAGGACCAGGTCAGCATCGCCTCATGTGTTTTACTTCAGACAGTGGGAAACAGGGTTCAGTACCGCTTGAATTTAAACAATTCCGATTTATATTCTACTTATGGATTCCTGATTTCCATTCCAATACGGTTAAAAAAAATTGGATATCGTTCTTATTTAGTCTTATTGCAAAACGTTTAATTTTAGCTGAATACCATAGAAAAACAACTAGCCTAACTAATATAAATTGCAAGCATTATTAAAGACTAGTAAACACTCAGGAATTACAAAAGAAACTAGGAACTGGGGTCCTAGAACTTTGGTCCTAGAACTGGGGTCCTGAAACTGGGGTCCTGAAACTGGGGTCCTGAAACTTGGGTCCTAAAACTGGGGTCCTAGAACTGGGGTCCTGAAACTGGGGTCCTAGAACTGGGGTCCTTAAACTGGGGTCCTAGAACTGGGGTCCTGAAACTGGGGTCCTAGAACTGGGGTCCTGAAACTGGGGTCCTGAAACTTGGGTCCTAAAACTGGGGTCCTAGAACTGGGGTCCTGAAACTGGGGTCCTAGAACTGGGGTCCTTAAACTGGGGTCCTAGAACTGGGGTCCTGAAACTGGGGTCCTGAAACTGGGGTCCTTAAACTGGGGTCCTTAAACTGGGGTCCTAGAACTGGGGTCCTGAAACTGGGGTCCTAGAACTGGGGTCCTGAAACTGGGGTCCTAGTACTGGGGTCCTAGAACTGGGGTCATAGAACTGGGGTCCTGGAACTGGGGTCCTGGAACTGGGGTCCTAGAACTGGAGTCCTGGAACTGGGGTCCTTAAACTGGGGTCCTGAAAGTAGGGTCCTGAAACTGGGGTCCTGGAACTGGGGTCCTGAAACTGGGGTCCTAGAACTGGGGTCCTAGAATTGGGGTCCTGAAACTAGGGTCCTGGAACTGGGGTCCTGAAACGGGTCCTGGAACTGGGGTCCTGGAACTGGGGTCCTGAAACTGGGGTCCTAGAACTGAGGTCCTAGAACTGGGGTCCTGGAACTGGGGTCCTAGAACTGGGGTCCTAGAACTGGGGTCCTGGAACTGGGGTCCTAGAACTGGGGTCCTGAAACTGGGGTCCTGGAACTGGGGTCCTGAAACTGGGGTCCTGGAACTGGGGTCCTAGAACTGAGGTCCTTAAACTGGGGTCCTGGAACTGGGGTCCTTAAACTGGGGTCCTTAAACTGGGGTCCTGGAACTGGGGTCCTAGAACTGAGGTCCTTAAACTGGGGTCCTGGAACTGGGGTCCTGAAACTGTGGTCCTTAAACTGTGGTCCTGAAACTGGGGTCCTGAAACTGGGGTCCTGGAACTGGGGTCCTGGAACTGGGGTCCTAGAACTGGGGTCCTGAAACTGGGGTCCTAGAACTGGGGTCCTTAAACTGGGGTCCTGGAACTGGGGTCCTGGAACTGGGGTCCTAGAACTGGGGTCCTTAAACTGGGGTCCTGGAACTGGGGTCCTGGAACTGGGGTCCTAGAACTGGGGTCCTGGAACTGGGGTCCTAGAACTGAGGTCCTTAAACTGGGGTCCTAGAACTGGGGTCCTGAAAGTGGGGTCCTGGAACTGGGGTCCTAGAACTGGGGTCCTAGAACTGGGGTCCTAGAACTGAGGTCCTAGAACTGAGGTCCTTAAACTGGGGTCCTAGAACTGGGGTCCTGGAACTGTAGCCTCCGGTTGTGCAGGAACATACTACTGGACTTCACAGATTCTTATTCTGTAACAAGAACAGCTCGTTCAGTGTGTCACACGTCATCACGCTATTTCTACGTCAGCGCACATGCAGTCCTTTCAGTTTCGGTTCTCAATCCATTCAAGTGTTCACATGTTCTCTGGATCAGATTAGAAAAGGAATAAACACCGCTTTCAATCCGATGGACGTCTCATTGGGATCGAGCTCACTCGGGTCGATGAAGGCGTTCACATGAAGGCTTTCAGTCCGTCAATCCCATTACTGACGGATTATTTGGTTGCATGTAAACGTAGCCAGTGACAAATGTGTGATTATATTTAAATATCAGAAATGTGTTTAAAAATCATATCACCTCATTGAAAAAATGTATATCGCAATATATTTTGATATTGAATTATTGTCCACCCTTAAGTCGACTAGAAACATGTCTAGCCCTAGAATATTGTGATGAAACTGACCGAATGTGAAGTGTGTGTGACTGTGTTTTGAGGTGTGTGTGGTTGTGTGAGGTGTGTGTGGTTGTGTTTTGAAGTGTGTGTGACGGTGTTTTGAGGTGTGTGTGGTTGTGTTTTGCTGCAGTTGCTGGCTGTGGAGCTGCTGAACGTGCTTCACCGGCTCCTGCTGACCCGTGACCCGCAGAGCATGCAGTTACAGGTGACGACGGTGGTGCAGAAAACCATCCGCGCCGCACAGGAGCACCTGCAGCACATCAGGAGTGAGTCCACATCACACACACATGTTCAGTTCGGACTGACCAGCTCATCTGAAGCGTTAGGAAGCAATCTAGAAAATAAGCGTCTCCTAATCTGTTGCCTGACACTTCTATCCATCTTATTCCTGATCTTACTGTGTTTTGAATTATGGGTGGCACTTCCGGTTTGGGGAACTTCCATTCAAAAACACTGAAACCAATCATTTTAAATCATAAGGTTGCCCTAGAAATAAAGCTGATCCGTCAGTTTTCCTTCATGCTTTATTTTCAGACATCATGAAAATAACGTAACATTTTTATTTTAACGTGACCATGTTATAAGGAGAATATCTGTGGCAGTCGCTGCTTTCTTCTCCTCATGATTATTTAGTTTTTGTCCTTTGCACTCCGCTGTAATATGAAAAAGGACAACATCGCCTGCACATCTGTGTTCTGTTCTCACGATTTAATTTACGATATATCCCACTAATAATTCACTGGAATGCACAAAGAATCTCGTTTTTCTCCTCGAATTCTCACGTCTCTTTCCAGGTAAATAGAATTTATTATCTGTCAAAATGACGGATATCACTTTGAAAAAGAGTCACGCAATGCTGAAGTTAATGAACATTTTTGATTAAGGCAACGTACGTTACATAATACAGATACATACATATATATATATTACTACAGTGATATTTAACCCGTCCGTTATTGCTGTGGAAAGAGTCGCGCTTTTGGGATTATTCATGGCCTGTTGACAGTTCCTTGTTGATGCTTTTACACTTTTAAATGTCCTTTTAATGTGCAATGGTTGAAGGCTGAGTAGAATAATGTCTTATTTATATCTAATAATTATCTTATTGTACCCAGTTTTTTATAAAAAACGTATTGCGTTTATAGAGCGAACATTTCACTGATTGTGTTTCGTGCTGTGTTTGCATACTTCACCACAGCTGAAGTGAAATAAATGCAATATTTGTCAAATACACAGACTTTTCAGAGGTATTTTCATTCAATACTTCATGTACTGCTTAATACAGCGTCTGTTTGTACAAGAATAACGTTCAAAATAAGCCTATACTATTTATAAACCAATGTAGTGAGGTCTACGTTTTTTAAATCAGTTTTATTTTGATAAACATGACACAATATAAAATCACGACTACATGAAAAGAGATTTTACGGTTATAAAACAGATTTGTGCGCATAAGTGGAACTGAAGGTGTTCGAATAAACACGAAACACACGTGATCGCTGTCATGCGGTGGATTCGGCCAATCGGGGATCAGCTGTGTCGTCACCAGAGCTCGTTCGTCGCGCTGACTGAGTCCTGCGGCGGCTCTCGAATCGCTCTCGCGCTACTTTGTTGGCATACGTCACAGTCACGGGGCGTCGGCACTGTATCAAGTCGGACACAATTTCTAACCAGCATGCACTGCTTCGAGTCAGCCGCGGACCGGTCTGCGCAGCGCTGCATGAAGACGAACAAGCCTTTGGTGTCAGCTGAACCACTGGAACCAGCCGCGAGCCTGTCAGTGTTTGCATACTTCACGACAATTGCCCAGCTGTCCCAAGCTGGCGTTAGCCTATAAGATTTCAACTAAAGTGGAGAAGGGAGGAGTTGGATGCGAGATCAATCGAGTGGTAGCTGATGATAATAACTGTGTGTGTGTGTTGTGGCAGCTGTGGAGGGGGACGAGGAGTGTGTGTCAGTGCTCGGGGAAGGAGGCGACACCGGCGAGCTTGTGCCAGGTAAATCTCTGGTGTTCGCTGCGATGGAGCTGCTGGTGTTTATCCTGGTGCGACACCTTCCTCAGCTGAAGGAGGACGAGAGGAAAGAGGAGGAGAAGGAGAGACGCACTCCTCAACACCTGAGTGACGACAGCAGCAGACTGGTGGCAGCGTCAGTTACAGCCCTCGCAGAACTGCCCTCACTCTGCTCACCCGCAGGTACACACACACACACACACACATAGAGGCCTTAGGATGTAACATATGAAACATGATAGCCAGTGTATCTTAGTATGTGTGTGTGTGTGTAGGGAGCATGACGATCCTGCCCACGGTGCTGTTCCTGGTCACTGGAGTTCTGCGAGAGACGGCGGTTCAGACGATCGATCACTCCGTCCCGGCGCCGGTGTCTGCGGCTCTACAGGCCATCAAGACCCTCCTCAGCCCTCGAGCGGCCCGGAGCCCTGCGCTGATCCGCAGCAGCCTGGCCTCTGTGCTGGAGTTCTCACAGCCCGGTGAGAGTGAGTGTGAGAGTGAGTGTGAGAGTGAGTGTGAGAGTGAGAGTGAGTGTGAGTGTGAGAGTAAGTGTGAGTGTGAGAGTGAGAGTGAGTGTGAGAGTGAGAGTGAGAGTGAGTGTGAGAGTGAGAGTGAGAGTGAGTGTGAGAGTGAGAGTGAGTGTGAGAGTGAGTGTGAGTGTGAGAGTGAGTGTGAGAGTGAGTGTGAGAGTGAGTGTGAGAGTGTGAGAGTGAGTGTGAGAGTGAGTGTGAGAGTGAGTGTGAGAGTGAGTGTGAGAGTGAGAGTGAGAGTGAGTGTGAGAGTGAGTGTGAGAGTGAGAGTGAGAGTGAGAGTGAGAGTGAGTGTGAGAGTGAGTGTGAGAGTGAGTGTGAGAGTGAGTGTGAGAGTGAGAGTGAGTGTGAGAGTGAGAGTGAGAGTGAGAGTGAGAGTGAGAGTGAGTGTGAGAGTGAGTGTGAGAGTGAGTGTGAGAGTGAGAGTGAGTGTGAGAGTGAGAGTGAGAGTGAGTGTGAGAGTGAGAGTGAGAGTGAGTGTGAGAGTGAGAGTGAGAGTGAGAGTGAGTGTGAGAGTGAGTGTGAGAGTGAGAGTGAGTGTGAGAGTGAGTGTGAGAGTGAGTGTGAGAGTGAGTGTGAGAGTGAGTGTGAGAGTGAGTGTGAGAGTGAGAGTGAGAGTGAGTGTGAGAGTGAGTGTGAGAGTGAGTGTGAGAGTGAGTGTGAGAGTGAGTGTGAGAGTGAGAGTGAGAGTGAGTGTGAGAGTGAGAGTGAGAGTGAGTGTGAGAGTGAGAGTGAGAGTGAGAGTGAGTGTGAGAGTGAGTGTGAGAGTGAGAGTGAGTGTGAGAGTGAGTGTGAGAGTGAGTGTGAGAGTGAGTGTGAGAGTGAGTGTGAGAGTGAGTGTGAGAGTGAGTGTGAGAGTGAGTGTGAGAGTGAGTGTGAGAGTGAGTGAGAGAGTGAGTGAGTGTGAGAGTGAGTGAGTGTGAGAGTGAGTGAGTGTGAGAGTGAGTGAGTGTGAGAGTGAGTGAGTGTGAGAGTGAGAGTGAGTGAGTGTGAGAGTGAGTGTGAGAGTGAGTGAGTGTGAGAGTGAGTGTGAGAGTGAGTGAGTGTGAGAGTGAGTGTGAGAGTGAGTGAGTGTGAGAGTGAGTGTGAGTGTGAGAGTGAGAGTGAGTGTGAGAGTGAGTGTGAGAGTGAGTGTGAGAGTGAGTGTGAGAGTGAGTGTGAGAGTGAGTGTGAGTGTGAGAGTGAGTGTGAGAGTGAGTGTGAGAGTGAGTGTGAGAGTGAGTGTGAGAGTGAGTGTGAGAGTGAGTGTGAGAGTGAGAGTGAGTGTGAGAGTGAGTGTGAGAGTGAGTGTGAGAGTGAGTGTGAGAGTGAGTGTGAGAGTGAGTGTGAGAGTGAGTGTGAGAGTGAGTGTGAGAGTGAGTGTGAGTGTGAGAGTGAGTGTGAGAGTGAGTGAGGAGTGAGTGTGAGTGTGTGGTGTGAGTGTGAGAGTGAGTGTGGGTGAGTGTGTGAGGTGAGTGTGAGTGGTGTGAGTGTGTGGTGTGTGTGAGTGTGAGTGTGAGGGTGTGTGTGAGGTGTGTGTGGAGTGGTGAGTGTGTGGTGGTGTGGTGTGTGTGTGAGGTGAGTGTGAGGTGAGTGTGGGTGAGTGTGTGGTGTGTGTGTGGTGGTGTGTGTGAGTGGTTGAGTGTGGGTGTGGTGGTGTGGAGTGGTGAGTGTGTGGTGAGTGAGTGTGAGAGTGTGTGTGTGGTGTGAGTGTGAGAGTGTGTGTGAGAGTGAGGTGGTGAGGTGGAGTGTGAGTGTGGGTGGTGTGGAGTGGTGTGAGAGTGAGTGTGGTGTGGTGTGGTGTGAGTGTGGTGTGAGTGTGGGTGAGTGTGAGTGTGAGTGTGAGTGGTGTGAGTGTGGTGGTGTTGGGTGGAGTGTGAGTGTGAGTGTGGTGTGAGGTGGGTGTGTGAGTGTGAGTGGTGTGTGAAGTGTGAGTGGTGAGAGTGAGTGTGAGAGTGAGTGTGAGAGTGAGTGTGAGAGTGAGTGTGAGAGTGAGTGAGTGTGAGAGTGAGTGAGTGTGAGAGTGAGTGTGAGAGTGAGTGAGTGTGAGAGTGAGTGTGAGAGTGAGTGTGAGAGTGAGTGTGAGAGTGAGTGTGAGAGTGTGAGAGTGAGTGAGTGTGAGAGTGAGTGTGAGAGTGAGTGAGTGTGAGAGTGAGTGAGTGTGAGAGTGAGTGAGTGTGAGAGTGAGTGTGAGAGTGAGTGTGAGAGTGATTTTGTCTGACCTGGGCCCGTATGTATAAAACTTCTAAGAAATGCTCTTAAGAATAGTATTAAGCTTTGACTTAAGTGTCAGAAAATACTTAGTAAAGAGTAGGACTTTTCTAAGAGTAGGAGACTTTTATCAAGCAGCTAAAAGCAACTTTCAGTAAAGTATAAGACTGATTCTTAAGTGCTGACTGAAGTGGGACTTAAGTGCTGCAAACTAACGACTACAATGATGTCAACGCAAAATGGCCGCCCTCACCCTCTGAATCAGCCAATAGAGAGCCTGCAAGGGTGAGGTCACAGTAGCATGACACCAATTATTTAATGTAATTATAATAAAATAATTTAATTAAGACACTGAAACTTTAATATTTAAATGTATTTTTTTAAATTGCTTTGCATTGTGCAAAATTATCACAAAATTAGTATTGAAGGAAAATTGTCAGATTCACCCTTTACTCAAATAGTATTAAAAATGTGTTAAATATTTTGTAAGCGTATTGTGTAGTTGTGCCTGGAGTCAATTGTTTATTTGTCATAACACAATAAAACATTCCAAATTGTACAGACATCATTTTTAGCCAGCCTTTAATACATATAAATTATAAACAGGTGAAAAAACAAGAGAGGACAATGAAATGTTAAGAAATGATTATTTTGCAGACAATGTATGATTTTTTTTTCTCCTGTGAGCTTTTTAATTTTTTCTAAAACCTGTAGCTGTAGTTTGCCCTTATTTGTCAGTTAATATTTTTAAAATAATATTGATCTGCCTGCAATGACACCATTATATGAGAACTGAACTGAGCTGGACGATGACATCACTGTTTTCTCCGGAGCGGCTGTAGAGATAAATTAACTAAATAGATAACTAATGATTTTTTACAATGGAAATTAAAGCTTAAGTTCTGCCAGGAAGACTAAATTGTCACGTCACCCGGGGGTCCTTCATCTCTCCATACCTCATTCCTCCCGGGGGTCGGCTGCGCTCCGCCTGCGTCTTCATGCAGTAAAAACAGACTCCGTTACCCTCGGATTGCGAGCTACGGACAGGGCCTACGCAACAGAACTTTATAACACATTTATAACTTACTTAAGCAGGACAATGACACTATTTTCTTCTAGAGCTGCTGTACAGCCAAGACTAACTTTGTTGCATAATTTTCCTGTAATCTCAGTAAAGCTGCTTCTGTATTGTAAAAAGCACTAGAAATAAAGGTGACTTGAAATAATTTTGTCAGATAAATACTTTCACTAAGTTTAGTGTTTTGTTCTTCCCTCATATTTTAAAATATTAAAAAAATATTAATATAAAAATATTTTCCTCATAAAAGGTTGAAGCAAACTTGTAGGGTCATTAAAAAAAAAAAAAAAAAAAAACTCTGCACATCACTTTTGGCCACCACTGTATATTTGGTGTGGTCAGTGTCACAATAGTGCTATTCAAGAGCCTATAACTGTGGACTGAAGGGCCCGAGTCATCACCGGTGCACTGCTGCATTCCAGTCTCCAAAAATATAATTATTACTTTAATTTCATTGCTATAAAACTTTTTTAAAAGGTAAGATACAAAAAGAATACCTTGATGATTAAACCTTTTTATTGTTTGATCAACTCATTTAACTACAATACATCACATTTTCGTTGAAAAGTGCATGGCCTAACCTCTCTGCTGCCATCTTCTTACTCCTAACTAGGTTAGGAGACCTCCCAAGGTCTCTTAAAGAATTTAGGAGCTGAGACCAAGTCTTAACACTTAGGAACCTTTATGAATCACGCTTATTCTTAAGTTTAGGAATAAGAGTAAAATTATGTAATTCTTAGAATTTTGACAGACTTGAGACTAAAATTTTACTCTGAGTGGCTTTATACATTCGGGCCCTGTTCTCTCTCTCCTGCAGAGGCGTGTGTGGCCGGTGTGGATGAGGTCAGTCTGCTGACGGCCGTCACACTGTTCCTGCTGTCGGCCAGTGATGAGCTGATCGGCGTCTCCGTCCTGCAGAACGGCTGTATTGAGCGGTTCAGACACGGACTCTCTTCTGCAGACCCCTGGGTGAGTGACACACACACACACTGACACTTTATTTAGATGTGCTATTCATAGTACCGTCTGCAACAGCGTGTCACTGTAGAGTACGTTTGCTCTGATAAGTAGCACATATTTAAAGTGCTTCTATTATGTGATTCTGAAGGTTCATAATGTGGTTTTGGAGCAGGTTTACATTCATCCAGTGTCAAAAAACACTTTAATGTCCTCATAATCTCCACTGCAGCATCAGCTCTTTCCTCTCAGTGTCTGAAGCGCTTCGATCAAGGATTCAGTCTCTCTAAGCCCCGCCTCTCTGAGAGCTGCTCTGCTGTGATTGGTCAGATGACTCAGTCTGCTGTGATTAGTCGGAAACCAAACGCTCATTATCATATCTGAATCTCAGCTCTTGATCACAGTGATACGAACAGTAATGATGGCGTGGGTTTCACCGTATCACTCTCAGACAACAGCGTCTTCTCGACATGAACAACACGAACCAACTCTTCCAGTCTCAGACAAACACTGATAAACTAATCAGTGATCAGTTTATCAGTGATCAGTTTATCAGTGATCAGTTTATCAGTGATCAGTTTATCAGTGATCAGTTTATCAGTGATCAGTTTATCAGTGATCAGTTTATCAGTGATCAGTTTATCAGTGATCGGTTTAATCAGTGATCGGTTTAATCAGTGATCAGTTTATTAGTGATCGGTTTATCAGTGATCGGTTTATCAGTGATCAGTTTATCAGTGATCAGTTTATCAGTGATCAGTTTATCAGTGATCGGTTTAATCAGTGATCGGTTTAATCAGTGATCAGTTTATCAGTGATCGGTTTATCAGTGATCGGTTTATCAGTGATCAGTTTATCAGTGATCAGTTTATCAGTGATCAGTTTATCAGTTATCAGTTTATCAGTGATCGGTTTAATCAGTGATCAGTTTATCAGTGATCAGTTTATCAGTGATCAGTTTATCAGTGATCAGTTTATCAGTGATCAGTTTAATCAGTAATCACTAACACTGATAATACACTTGATAAACTACAGTGTTTGAGGGCGGGGCTAAGAGACGCTGTTCAGCCAATCAAGACCAGAGGCTGGCATTATGCTAATTAGTTACAAACCTAAGTGCACTGGCGTTTAAAAGTTTTGGATTGGTACGATTTGTAATGTTTCTGAAAGAGTCTCTTCTGCTCATCAAAGCTGCATTTATTTGATCCAAAATACAGTAAAACAGTGAAATATTACTCCAGTGTAAATCAGCTGTTTTCTATGTGAATATACAGTAAAGTGTAATTTATTCCTGTGATCAAAGCTGTATTTTCAGCATCATTACTCCAGTCTTCAGTGTCACAAGATCCTTCAGAAATCACTCTAATATGAGGATCTGATGCTCAAGAAACACTTATGATTATTATCAGTGTTGAATTGACAATGTTGTGCACAATTTTTTTTCAGGATTCTTTGAAAAAAAGAAAGTTCAAAAGAACAGAATTTATTTGAAATAGAATCTTTTGTAACATTATAAATGTCTTTACTGTCACCTTTGATCAATTTAATTAATCCTTGCTGAATAAAAGTATTAATTTCTTTATTTCTTTCCTCCAAAAAATTAAAAAAAAATTCTTACTGACCCCAAACTTTTGAAAGGTAGTATTCAATGTTACAAAAGCTTTCGATTTCAGATAAATGCTGTTCTTTTGAACTTTCTATTCATCAAAGAAACCTAAATTAAAAATGTAAAGAACTGTTTTCAACACTGATAATGATCATAAGTGTTTCTTGAGCATCAGATCCTCATATTAGAGTGATTTCATGTGACACTGAAGACTGGAGTAATGATGCTGGAAATACAGGAATAAATTACACTTTACTATATATTCACATAGAAAACAGCTGATTTACACTACAATAATATTTCACTGTTTTTACTGTAGTTTTTGTATTTTTAATCAAATAAACGCAGCCTTGGTGAGCAGAAGAGACTATTAAAAATCTTACCGATCCCCAACGTTTGAACGGCAGTGTGCGTTCATCAGGAAGTGAGACTGAATTACTGACGACTCGTTTCAGTTCAGAATCACTTCTTTCTTTTGAGAGACAAAACCTCCTTTTATCTGCACCTTACAACATTGATCTGCTCTTTTAACTTTGAAACTTTGCAGATCTTTTACTCTCACAAACATCTCTATTACACACTACATGAAAGGGACTATCAGGAACAGCACAACAGAGGCACTTTAAAGCATGGATGTTTCTTCTGTGTGTGTGTGTGTGTGTGTGTGTGCTCAGACTCAGGCGCGCTGCTGTCAGCTGCTGCTGTCGGTGTTCCAGCACCCGTGCCGGGCTCTCTCGGCTCCCTACATCCACTCGCTGGCCCCGGGGCTCGTGGAGCAGCTGAGGAGCGTGGAGCAGAACCGGCCCGCCACCCCTGCCCAACTACAGGCCGTACAGGACGGGGTTAAAGTGCTGGAGAGCCTCGTCGCCATGGCAGAGGAACACAGCCGTAAGCGTTACCCTGTAAAGCCTACTGTATCATATTTGATACGCAAACACCTTTACGATAAATTATCTGGAGGGTATTTTAAGCTGAAATTTCAAGTCAAGTCATCCTCATTTATATAGCGCTTTTAACATTGTAGATTGTTTCAAAGCAGCTTTACAGAGATAAACTTAATATAATTTAAGGTAACAGAGATTGGTTTGGTTTTATAGCGGTTCTTGAATAATGTTATTTTCCAGCTAAAGTTAGTTTTGATTGATTCACTTCTGTTGAAATGATCATTTGTTATTAAATTAGGGGCCGCTAAGACGACACCGTTCTCTCTACACAGACTTTAAACTGAACCTGTGATAAACACTGATGGCGTTCACATGCGCATTAAGAACTGATTCTATAGTTATGTGCGTTTGAATATATGTGCGCAGGTTTGTAATTCCCTACAAACCATGTCTAAACAAACTACTTGTCTTGCCTATAAATTTTGATACAGAATTTTATTTTATCACTTCGGGGTTGGTACGTGAACCCTAATTTCCACAACGCTTTATCTGTAGAGTGGAATAGGGATCCTCCATAGACACATTCTGGGCACACCATAGACAAGATTCATCTAGTGGAAAGGGGCGTAATATGTCACCTTTCCTCTGGGGTCCTTCATTTCAGAGTCACACTCAGGACCTTCGGGTCCAAATGGGCCGGAAGGGTGGGATTAATATTTATTAAAAAAAATCATCTTTTTTTTTTTACTTGTTTTTATAATATTTTTTCTTTTCTTTTTTGGTGTTTTGAGATAATTTCAAAAATAAAAATGCTTTATAATTAATATTAATGCAATAATTATGACCCATTTTTTCCCGATTGAATATAAAGGAAATTTTTTTTTTTGTTTTTTTTTTTTTTACAGCTGTATTTCATTTTAGAGTCAAGCCTAGGCCTCATGAAAGCAATTTTTGAAATGAGATGGATGCCATTTGGTGGACAAACTGAGCATTTTAAAAATTCAAAACCCATATGTAATCTGAATTTATTAGTGTGTATGTGTATAAAAGTGTGTGTGTGTGTGGATGTGTCTGTTTTGCACTCTTGATGTTTTATAGATTCACCCCTTCACTGTTGTGTGCTTTTTTTCTGAATCGTGGCTGATTTGTAGATTGTACGCACAAAAAAACTCTATTTTCACATTTTTGCCAATTTCCCATTCATTTCCTATGCGGGTCCACTTGGACCCGAAGGTCCTGAGTGTGACTATTTTTTTTACAACCACTTAGACTATTCAAATCCTGTCCCCAATTTTTTTGGGTGTTCATATACCAAGTACCAACAAAGTCACCAAATTTCGGACCATTCCGATGAAGCTATGATTTAAAAAAATATATATATTTAAATGCTTCGGGTCCATTTGGGCCGAAGGACCCCAGAGGGTTAAATGGTCAATACTGCTGTAAAACCTTTTAAAAACACTAAAGCCAATGTATACTGTGTGCCAGTTTGATCACTATATTAGCATAAAAATCATGTCATGTCAGCTTCATGTCAAGTTCTTCCCTTAACCCGGTCTGTGTCCCGCAGGAGTTCAGTTGCTGGCTCTGCTGGTGCCGACGCTCATCTCATACTTGCTGGACGAGACGAGCTTCTCCACGGCCCCCAGCTGCTCCACAGGCCTGCACGAGTTCGCCCTGCAGAACCTGATGCACATCGGCCCGCTGTACCCCGCGGCCTTCAAGACCGTCATCGGGGCGGCGCCAGAACTCAAGACCCGGCTCGAGGCGGCCATCAGATCCACACAGGCCAACAGCAGAGCCAAGGCGGCGGCCAGACAGGCTCAGCCCAGTGTGCAAGCGGCGCCCACCATCAAACTCAAGACCAGCTTCTTCTAGTCCATCACCTGGGTGTCTGTAGAACGCTGAAGCGAATAAAAGTTACAGTGACACTGTCATAAATCATAAGGATCTGTTACAAGCATTACATCTTGTTTGTTTTTATGGGCACATTTGAAATGCACCTTAAGTCAAACTTAATAACCTACTTTTGAAAGCTCACGTTACACTGGTGGAAATAGACATTCCCATTTACCTGAATATTTCCATGAACACATTCCCATGTTGTTGTTTTTTTAACTGTGTTGCTTTTTATTATTTTCTATCTGATCATAATTTAAGCCTCATATTATCATATTTATCAATTTTCCAGAAATTTCACAAAAGTGTGTGGTTTTTGGTCAGTAATGATCATTGTTTTAAAGATTCAAGTATAAACTACTTGACTTCTGCTGTGATTGTCTATGAATTCGGCTGAATCGCTGTTTAAATGTAGTTGCGGACTGGGAGTCTATTGAATATTTTAGAGTTGCTCAATGCTGGAGTTCTTGTTTGAGCTTTTAATAACTTGATTATGTCTGCCTTTCATTGCCTGTCATTCATTAAGTAAAAATATGTAATATATGCACCATTGCCTGTCATTCATATATAAATAATGTCCCAAAAGCCATCCATAAGAGACTAGATAGTTGATCTGCACAGGTGTTCTTATGTATTCAAGCTATCGGGTGTAAAACCTAAGATATAAGCTTGATTCCCCCGACCTGCAGCTGATCTCACTGGTTAAGGCTAGGTAGGGTGAGGGATTAGTGTTTGTAGACGATCAGGAGTGCCTAAATGGGCGTGGCCTAAGCCTATAAAGATCGCTAATTTTGGCCAAAATACCAGGTTTAAATAGACTGAAGCGACACATCCTGGCAGATTGCAGTAGTGCGGCAGGCTACCCAATACTCGTTCCCTTACTCTCAGGGAACCGAGGTTACGTTAGTAACCGAGTACGTTCCCTTTCGAGAACGGTCACTTCGTATTGCGTAGCTATTACGCAGTGGGGACGCAATGTAAAACGCTGCACATTAGCAACTGGCTGAATTACCTGGAGCCTAGGGAAACACCCCGAGGCTCAACAGAACAGGCCATAATCAGTCTCCCAGTATAGTGACACTAACCAGACAGAGTCGGGTTCATGAATGAAACCGGGGCTCCTAACCGTCCTAGGACTACTTGTGCTAGACAGTACATGCTAGACAGATAAAAAAACAGACACTGTCGGGTTAATATCACACTGAGAGGACCCTGGCCTGCAGGCAAGACCTCCAGATTATAAAATCTGACAAATGTGGACGGTGAGGACCAGCCGGCCGCTGCACAAATGTCTTGAATTGGCACACCACTGGACCAAGCCCACGAGGAGGCCATGCCTCTCGTGGAATGGGCTTTAGCGCTTATGGGACAGACCTGGCCCACAGAGGCGTATGCCAGCGAGATGGCGTCCACTATCTATCTGGATAGTCTCTGCTTCGTGACCGGAACCCCTTTGGTGCGGCCGCCGAAGCAAACAAAAAGCTGTTCTGACTGCCTAACCGGCGCAGAACGCTCTAAGTATATCTTTAGAGCCCTAGCGGGACACAGCTGATTAGCGCCGCCATCATTTTCTGAGGGTGGAAGTGCTAACAGAGTAATGAAAGGAGTGATTGTGTGCACATCCCATCTTCTGGCAGGTGCAGGACAAGAAGAAATAATGAAGTAAAAGAAAATGTAATGTCTGCAACACTGCTTTATGCTCCCATATTTAATAAAAAAGCAACGTTTTGACCCCACTGGATTTTCTTCAGGCAAATGGTGGACACATTTAATACAGGGATATAAATAGGTCTCACAATCAACTGACCCACTAAGTGATTTCAATTCATTTAATTAGCTAATAGCCCCACCCATAATACAATTAAGAGAACACTCATATAAGAATACTCAACAAACCCATAACCAACATAACACACAACATTACAAAAAAAAAGAAAAACGGACAGAGTAATGACCTGAGCTCTGAACGGAGTTGAGATCACCTTAGGTACATAACCGTGCCTTGGCTTGAGAAAGACTCTGGAGTCATTTATCCCAAATTCCAGGCAGGATGGGCTCATGGAAAGCGCCTGCAAATCTCCCACTCGCTTGACTGATGCCAAGCCAGCAGCAGAGCAGTCTACAGTGAAAGTGGTTTGAGGTCGACCGTCTGTAGCGGTTCGAACGGGGGGTGCCATCCTAAGGACCCGTCCTAAGTAACCCCAAGGACCGTGGAAAGGTCCCACGCCGGTATAGTGGGAGGCCTGGGGAGGTTCAACCTCCTGGCTCCTTTGAGAAAACGAACGATAAGGGCGTTTCTCCCCAGCGACTGGCCAGCCACAGGAGCACGGTGAGCTGCCGTGGCCGCCACTTACACTTTGAGCGTGGTTTGGGAGCGACCCGCATCCAGGAGCTCTTGTAAGAAAGAGCACCACTGACACTTCACATGAGTGGGGCTCAAAGTCTCTGGCTGAGCACCAGCCAGCGAATACTGGCCACTTTAAAGCATAGAGGCGTCTTGTAGACGTTGCTCTAGCCACAGTGATGGTGTTTAAGACCTTTTCTGGAAGGTCCCTGAAAACCAGTTCAGGGGCCATACATGGAGTCGGGGCGAGGGTGCCAGATCGTCCCGTTCGCCTGTGTGAGGAGGTCCTTCCTCAATGGCACTGGCCAGGGAACAGTGTCCATCATCCGTGCCAGCTCTGGAAACCACACCTGGGTTTGCTCTCCTTGATCCTTCTGATGACCTTAGGGATCATAGAGACCGGCGGGAACGCATACAGCGGGCGTCTGGGCCATGGGTGGCCATCTGGGCCAGCGCGTCCCTGTTCTTTGAAAAGAACGTTGCGCAGTGAGTGTTGTTCCTGGAGGTCGACCTCTGCCCTGCCTAACACACTCCATTTCAGACGAACCGTCTCAGAGTTGAGACCACTCGCCTGGAGACAGCATGTCCACATTTTGGACTCCTGGAACATGCGCAGCTCTCAGGGAGCGTGGGTTGGCATGCCACCAATGAGGGGCTTTCTGAATACTTGAAATGTGATTTTTACAAATCCGTTTTAAGCTACATCCATATGTGGTTTGAAATCCTATTCAAATTGCATTTCTGGAAATCCATTTCAGCCTGTCTGCTCTGATAGGATTTTGTGTGGTTTATGTGACTTTCTCAAGCCACATAAAATGTAAACATCAGACGTTGTTATGGGAAACAAGGTTGTGTTGTTCCAAAGTGCGGCACAGCAGAAAATGACAATATAACGGAGACATATTTTGAAACCGGTGGAGACAATAACGCGAAAAAAAGCCACTCATCCCAGCCTCCGGTTCTGCGGCTGGAAGAGCATAGTCCAGTGCTCAGCTACACATTTCCATGTTTAAATAAGACAACATCTGTATCGCAAACCCCTACATGTTGCGGTTAGTGTTGTTTTAGGTGTATACTTACCAAACGCAACATCGTTGCCATGAAAACCGACAGGACCGACACCCTGCACAGGGGCCCCGGAGACCCGACACCCTGCACAGGGGCCCCGGAGACCCGACACCCCGCACAGGGGCCCAGGAAACCCGACACCCCGCACAGGGGCCCCGGAGACCCGACACCCCGCACAGGGGTCCCGGAGACCCGACACCCTGCACAGGGGTCCCGGAGACCCGACACCCTGCACAGTGGCCCCGGAGACCCAACACCCTGCGCAGGGGCCCCAGAGACCCGACACCCTGCCCAGGGGCCCCGGAGACCCGACACCCTGCCCAGGGCCCCGGAGACCCGACACCCTGCACAGTGGCCCCGGAGACCCGACACCCTGCGCAGGGGCCCCAGAGACCCGACTCCCTGCGCAGGGGCCCCAGAGACCCGACACCCTGCCCAGGGGCCCCAGAGACCCGACACCCTGCCCAGGGGCCCCAGAGACCCGACACCCTGCCCAGGGGCCCCGGAGACCCGACACCCTGCCCAGGGGCCCCGGAGACCCGACACCCTGCCCAGGGCCCCGGAGACCCTAGCTGTGTGCGTCAGTGTTCCGAAGAAAAGAGTGTGTGTTTGTTTGGACTCATTGAGACTCAATGGTTCTCACGGTCTCATTTCCATCACCTGTGCTTCATGTCCTGTTTGTATGTTCAAATAACCTGACGGTTCATTCAGTCTCATTAGCTGAGCTCCGTTTCCCGTGTTTCCTGGTATTGTAGGTTTGATTATGGCTCTATATGCAGCTCTTGTGTTTATGATTGCATTTTGGATTCGTTTCTTGTTTTGTGGATTGTTGTCATGTGTTTTGACCCAACTTAGACTCTATTTAGTGTATGAATCATAATATTCTAATATTGTACATGTAATAAATACATGAATGAATATATTCAATATGCTTTTTAAACAGTTTTTGAATGCAATATTGCAACATAAATGATCTTGCAAGTTTCACATGCATCACAAAACCTCATTACAGTTTTTTTTTAAATGCATAAAAAAATCAAATCCAATGCAAAGTCAGGGAAAATCAGTTCTGCAACTGCGAATTTAATCTGGAGAGGTGCTTGATCATAAAATGATCAAGTGCATGGCTTCGTTTACTGCTCTTTGCATTGGATTTTTTTATTTTTTTAATCTATTTAAAAAACTGTAATGAGGTTTTGTGATGCATGAGCATGTGCAAATGCAAATGTAATGTGGAGGGATGCTTGCATAAAGTGATCAAGTGCATGATAGTTTACTGCTCAGATTCTAGAGGACATTTATGATTAATGCATTGAAACAATATGGACTCGAATGACATTACAAACTGACCTATTTCGAATGTGAGCACAATGCCTGGCATCAGTGAGTTTATTAAACAGCCTGTGGAGGGAGACACATCCTCGAGCCCGAGCAACAAACCCATCAAACTCCCGCAGCGGGAAACAACGGTAACGACCTGTTCTCCGCTCCCACATTCCTCCGCGGCGGCGATGATGACGTCACGAGGTCTTCCTCAAACATCCCTGGCACTCCGGACCCGACACCAGACCCTCCTCATCCTCTCCGGACCCGACACCAGACCTCATCCTCCCGGACTCACACCAGCTCAGGTGAGTTTCAGCAATATGAAGTATTAGCTTCGATAAAATCCAAACATTATGATTTATTAGAACATTATTTAATAAAAATGTGTTAAACAGTGATGTCTTTGCGTTTTGGGTTTGAAGTGAATTCATAAAACAGACTCTTGTGCAGAAACAGTTTATAATATCGTACAGTAAGTATGCGACTGATTGATATGCGCTGAAAGCGTTGTTTAAGTGTTTAATGGCGGCGTGTTATTGCATTTTTAATAGTTGCTTTAACTTTAAAAGACATTTCTAGAGAAGTATGCGCCTGGAGCTGAGCCAATGAAAGCAGAGAGAAGTGTTGTCACATGTTCAGCTGTGATGATGTACTGTGGTGTGAAGTGTTGTTCTGATGTGTTTAACCCATGTAGAACCAGTATGATGCTGGGAATCTTCCTGATAATGACAACTGTTGCCTGTGCTGTTGCTCAAGAGGCAGAAGAGCCCGTTTCATATACGGCGAGTGCATTATTAACCTGTCACGATTATTGATTCATACATCATCATAGATGATTAATGTAGAAACATTTCAAGCGACCAATCAGATTTGAGAGGCAAGTTTACTGTGTAGATCAAGTTTAGTCTTACAACCAGGGTTAGTGCTTCTACATCAGTGCGATTCACCATCAGCTCCCTCTGATTTGAGGGATAAGTTACGGTTAGGGTTATGGATAAGTTATGGTTAGGGTTAGGGTTATGGATAAGTTACGGTTATGTTTAGGGATACTTGATACGGTTACACATTTTCAGACAGGAATGTTGTTCCAGGATCTACATAATATGTTGATTTAGGAACATGTCTTATTTGGCAAAATCATGTTACCATTAATCGCCTGATCATGTTTATTCAATCTAATTGCAATTATTTGAGATAACTGCAAAAATTACCTTTTGCCATCTAAATAAGGGGATTTTAAATGATCATGAAATGGCATCAGATGTCCACGCTGAAATACAGCTAAAAGCACCCTAAACTGGTTGGCCTGTTTTAGCTGGTCTTCAGGCTGGTTTTATTAGAGGGGTTTGAACAAATTTTTATTTTTATTTTTAACCTTCCAGGGTGGTCAATCTGGGAGACCAGCTTAGGGTGCTTTTAGCTGTACTTCAGCGTGGACATCTGATGCCATTTCATGATCATTTAAAATCCCCTTATTTAGATGGCAAAATGTAATTTTTGCAGTTATCTCAAATAAGGGGTAGTAGGGCTGTAAAAACACTTCCTTCATTTGAAATGAAAATGACAGGCCTATTTACATCAGCTAAATAACAGGTGTGATTGTTTTGTTATTACAGCTCATATATGTGTTAAACTGACTGGTAAAACTAATGTTATTGTTCACAGCAGTGCACAGAAGGCTATGAATATGATCCCATTAAAGAGGTATGCAAAGGTAATAACATAGTATTGTTGATATAATACTCTCTCTCTGGCCTTGTATGGACAACTGTTGTGTTTCTGTCTTTGAGAAGGACACCGAAGCCCACAGTAACAGCAGTTTCTCTCCGTGTCTGAACAGATGTTGACGAGTGTGCCCTTGTTTCTGACGCCTGTAAAGGGGGCATGAGGTGCATAAACCACTACGGCGGATACCTCTGCCTCCCTCAGAACGCACAGATCTTCGTCAGCGATGGGGACGACTCCTCACACTCATCAAACCCTGTGAACCCACTGACCCCACAGACCCGCTGGAACCCCAGAGCCGGAGACGCGCGGTGCTCGCCTGGGTTCACACGCGACGGGCAGAACGTCTGTCAAGGTACGGCAGCGTCAGCCTCGTGTCTGAGGGACAGGCTCATGAGGGACATATGCACATATACATGTACAGGGAGAAGCTTAATGTGCAGAAGAGATACGAGTATGTACAGTACTAGGTGGCAACATAATATAATCAGAGATTTGAACAGGAGATAGAGTTGAAGACTGGACCGGAGGAGGAGAAGGCCGTGTATCGTAGCGTTTGATAGAAGTTAGTGAAGACACCCGAACGGCACTGATCTAGTCCAGCGAACAGGGAACGTCCTGGCAAGTTCTCTCAAAGTCATGAACAAACGTTCTTCCAGTAACATTGATAGAACGTTCATTCAGAGCTATCTGTTCTTTAAAAAAAAAAAACTACTTACTAATTTAGAGAACATTCCGAATTAATGTTCGCAAAATTATACAATGGAATGTTTCCTTAGTGTTCTCATATCTAACAAAAATTAATAAGTAAATAAATATTTTTAAAACGTTTAAATAAGTTTAAAATGAAAGTCGAGAGAACATTCAAAAATAACGTTTTTATATCTAATGGGAACGTTAGCAAAACATTCTTAGAACATGTTGTTGTTGCTGGGCTGAGCTTTAACTCTGCGTTTTTACCATCATGTAAATCAGATTGATGATGCTTTCTGATTTAGAATTGATGACGTAATTAAAGAACATTTTTGTGTGTGCATGTGCGTGCGTGTGCGTGTGTCCAGATGTAGACGAATGCGCTCAGGACACACACACCTGCAGTGCAGAGCAGACCTGCTTCAACACCAGAGGCTCTTACACCTGCCAGTGTCCTCCTGGACTCCAGAAACACAGAGAGCAGTGTGTGGGTGAGTGCAGACAGAAACAGCACTGGTCTGGGAACAGTGCTCGTGTGATCTCACTGGTTAAGATATTAGAGGGTCAGCTGGTTTTTGTTGGTTATTTTAACTCTAGCATGTAATATGTTTCTGACTTTCAATTATCTTCTCTATTGCCTCTCATGTCTGCAATGTCAAATAAATACTGCGGTTTATATTTAATTTATATCTCATGTTTCCTCTAAATGATAAGCTTGTAAAAGTAAAATAAATTAAGATAAATATGGTCTTTCAAAATAGTCTCAGTGATGCCCCAAAATTAAAATTCTTGGCCAAAAAAAGAGACACATTTCTTTACTTTTTTTTTTTTTCTAAAAAAAATTTGCCAAATCTTCCCCATAATGAATGAATGGTTGGTTGGTAACAATGTTTGCCAGCATTTTCTGTCATACACACTAAAGCGCTCATTGTGTTCAAAACAGACATTCTTGTTTATACTTATGCATTTAGCAGATGCTTTTATCCAAAGCCACTTGCAAAAGCAGTTTGTCACACAGTATTCATAATATACATTGCCAATTCTGTTAGCTAGATTAGGAAGCAAACTAGAGCAGAGGAGGAAGCAGAGAAGAAAAAGATGTTTTGCAGAAGATGTGTATTTTGATCTGCTTTTTGAGAGATGTGAAGTTCTGCGTCCATCAGAGAGGAGCGGAGAGAGAGAAGGTTCTGGATAGTGATGTGTGCCTCGTTGTGAAGGAATAGAAAGGCCTTGTGTGTTCAGTGACTGCTAGCGGTGGGAGTGTACTCTTGTCTCGAGGAACAATATTAGAACAATCAGCTTTGCATCTATATGTGCATTAAATTACAGGACACATTCTTCCGGTGCGTGCATTCCTGTGTATCTGTGTATCTGTTGCGTGCATGTGTGGAAGGTTCAGTCAATATATTTCTCATCAACCATCAACGTGAACTATCCGACTGTTAAGACTGAGGTCCCCCTCAGAATTCCCAGAAACCCCTGCAAATGTTTCATCAGATTTGGTCTATCAAACAATAATCAAAAACAAAAAGGAGATGTTACCATTATCACCCTGCAAATCTGTCAAGAATCCCATCGGTTATATGAGCAGTGTTTGTGTAAACCTCTTTGCAGACAGAAACGAGTGTCTGCTGTCACACTTCTGCATGCACACGTGTGTGAACACCGCTGGCTCTTACTACTGCGAGTGCAATGATGGATACCAGCTCGCCAGCAACAACCACAGCTGTGTAGGTGAGTTAAAGACCAGACCTGTGCGTGTGTGTGTGTGTGTTCCTGTTTTGGTGGACAAATCCTGTCCTTAACAACATGCATTTCTAATCTACTGCTCTTCCCTCTCTTTATAAGAAATACATTTGATTGAGCCAATGGGTTAAAATAGCATGGATTTAAAGGGGATTGTTGGAGTTAAGATTGCGGTCAGTGCTTTTAAGTGTTAGATTCACAGTAGAATATTCAATATTGGGCAACATACAGGAAGCTCCCTATATTTTAGAGTAATAGATTAAATAATAGACACAGTCGGTTACTCTTATGATCACTGTGTCAATACCATAAAGTGAAATAGATGTCCTTATGATAAATGGGCAAGAAGTCTCTCAGATTAGCTTGCTTCAAAGTTCTGCCAAGAATTTGATTTCAGATCTTTCACAAAGCAAGAGGAGGAGCTTCAAATTAAAGGTGAATCTGTTAGCACAACATATTTTAAAAGGAGAGCGAGAGCATTTGGGCTCAATCCCAAGGTTTCAAAGCTGTCATTTGCAAATCAACATTGTTCAGTTGTTCTGAGAACAGCAAGGAATGTGAAACTTGATAATGATGCCTAACTTGTGAATCAAAGCATGAACATCTTTGCCAATAAAATGTGTTCTTTGATCAACAACATGATAAGGAATTCCTTAGTGAGGAAAGGTTTCCTGCTAAAGCATTTGTATATGGAAATCATGCACTCAGTGGAAACTGAAGAACATACTGATAAGAATGGCTCTTAGAACCAGTACAAATACACCGAATGTGTCCAAGGTCCTGCGGGGAAAGATTTTATTGAGCCTCATGACAGAAGAACAGAAGAATGTTTTATAATCAGTTCAAAAGATCCATGTGTTGACCAACTGTAACTAAAAAACGAGGAATCTCGATTTTGCTTCTAGACTTGGTGAAGAAATACACTAAAGAACAACTTGAGAAAAAATGGCCATGTATATATGTGGACACCCCCTACTAATCAAAAACCAGGACGGAGATGGAGTACCAGAGGAGCAGGACCATGCTGCAGGATTGGAGAACCAAGCTGGATCCGGGGGATCGGAGGACCAAGGTGGAACCAGAAGATCGGAGGACCAAGGTGGATCCGGGGGATCGGAGGACCAAGGTGGATCCGGGGGATCGGAGGACCAAGGTGGATCAGGGGGATCGCAGGACCAAGGTGGATCCGGGGGATCGGAGGACCAAGGTGGATCCGGGGGTTCGGAGGACCAAGGTGGATCCGGGGGATCGGAGGACCAAGGTGGATCCGGGGGATCGGAGGACCAAGGTGGATCCGTGGGATCGGAGGACCAAGGTGGAACCAGAAGATCGGAGGACCAAGGTGGATCCGGGGGATCGGAGGACCAAGGTGGATCCGGGGGATCGGAAGAAAGAGGTGGAGCAGAGCAAAAGGTGTGAAGGTCTGGAAGTCCAAGGTGGAACCAGAAAATTAAAAGGCGAGGCCGGAAGGATGAGGGACTGCTGTGGAGCCAGAAGGGTTTGTAGGGTCAAGGCGGAATCAGGGGATCAGAGGGCCGAAGTGGAGGTCAAAGGTCCTAGGCTTAGGCCATGATTCGGAAGACTGGGAAGCCAGGGAATAGGAGAGAGCCGGTAGAGCATTAGGATGATGAGATGGAGGAAGGGCTAGGAACATGGGGGTGGAACTAGGTTAAATGAGAGCAGTGTCTAAGCAGATGGGAGAAGTGTTAAACTATACTGATCCAAATTTTATTATCATTAGGTATTAGTGCAAAACTTAATGTTACTACTGCAGTGTGTGAGTGTAGCTGCTGCTCTGATTTGAAGTGATGACACTCTAGCCACAGCATGTTTTAACTGATCTACAGGAATACTGATATTAATCTAAATATGGCATTGTGTGTGTTGCCCACAGTGCTTAAGCCTGATCGCAAGGATATTTCTATTTGCCAAATGTGAAACAACATTGAAAGTCAACACACTAGTGACTAGGTGGTACTTGAATGTTCTGGTTGGTTTGGGAACCACTGCTTTCATCTGATTGGCATTTCAAGAGTGCTGATATTTGTCTAAGCCAATAGCCGCGTGGGCAGCGCTCTGACATAGCTCAACTGTGTCTCCGGCGACCTGACTTCGACTGTCGGCTCGAGGTCCTTTGCCGATCCCGTTCCCCTCTCTCTGCCTCATGCTTTCCTGTCTGATCTGTAACTGTCCTGTTCAATAAAGGCATAAAAAGGCCAAATATATATATCTTAAAAAAGAGAGTGCTGATATTTAGTATTTATTTAAATTTCTTGTGGCATTTTTACCTTTATGAGTAGGGTTGGGTACCGAAACTCGGTGCCAATAGGGAACCGGTTCCGACGTAAACGGTAGTAACCAGACCGAATAAGAACGAAAATTTCGGTGCCTGATTTCGGTGCCTAACTTCATTAGGCACACACGCGCACACACACACACACACACACACACACACACACACACACACACACACACACACACACACACACAAGGTCTCTCGCTCTCTCTCTCTCCGCCGTGCGTGTGCTACACAGTTTGGAGCACAGTTCTGTCTCGCATGCGCGCTCTTTCTCGCAAGGTTTGGCTGCATTTCACGTGTGAAATTACGTGTCAGAACGCCCTCTGGGTGTGCCGATAGTCTGAATCCCATATAGAATCAAGCCAATTCATTGGCTGATGGCGCGGGCGCCGCATCGACGCACTTACGTCGTCATATTATGTTGGCGCGCGTGCGCCATCTGCTCCTCAGATTTCTCTGCCGAAAAAGGAAGCTGGTCGGCAGCGAGAGGAGCTTGGCAGCGTCCCGTTCCCTATTGAGAGCTATGTTACACCAGTAACCAGAGATGTTCTCTTTCATAGGTTCACTCAACGCTGCGTAGCTAAGAAGCAGTGGATTTGTAGGCTGCTGTATCACGTGCCGTTTGAACTGACGCGCTACAGCGATCTGTCACATTTCAAAGAGCCAAAACGTTATTTATTGTGTGAATCTCGTAAAAATATTGACAGAATCTGACAGCTGTGGATTTGTTCCATATCAAAAGTAACCTTCTCTGTCTTGTCTGTCGGTGTCCTCTTTGTCCGCGATTTTTCTGCGTGAAAAGGGTCATTTGCGTGAGTCTCACGGTCAATGCGTGAGAGTTGGCAGCTCTGCCTGCTAGTAATCTCTATTAATCTCCAGTATTATTACATTGTTTGATACAATATTGTTTCATTTGATATTATGTAAATATGAATTTTTATTTTATATTGGTTTTATTATTACCATATGTTACTTGTATTTATATTGTTTAAAGATTTAAGTTAATATTGTGTCCAGTTTGGCCCTGTAAATTAAAGAGTATTATTTTTTGATAAAGTGTGTGCGGTTTCATTTTCTTAAGTACCGATTTAAGAACCGTTTAAGCACCGGAACCGTTTAAAAAATACCGAGTAGGTACTGGAATCGGATAAAACCCAAACGATACCCAACCCTATTTATGAGAGTACATTTTTCGGAACCAGGAAGTCGTCAGTGCCGGATGGAACCAGTGAAGGATAAACGGCTTTAGGGGTGGGGATAACATGCCACATATTTTAACCAAAATATTGACACAGCAAAACAAGAACCAACAAAGGACAACTGAAACAAAGGGTTATATTATACACAGGCTAAGGATTAACTAAACTAGACACAGGTGAACATAATCAGCAGCTTAGGAAACAGATCACACACAGAAAGTAATCAACAGAAACTTTGAAATCTAATACAACAGAACAAAATACAAACTAAGAGTGCTTGGACATAAACCAGATATGACGTTAGCTTACTCACTATTAACTTTTTGTTTATTAAACGGTCATATAAAATATCACATTTGCAATTGTGCCCATTTTCAAGAAAAACAGCACTCTTGCTCATATGATATTGCATAACTACATTGTATCATATAAATGCAAGATGTTATAACAATATAGGTGTCATGGAACAGAAGATGCAGAAGATCGGTAATCTGAAGGTAAGTAGGCTGGTGGAAGTTCAGTGTTAAACGATGAGACCAGATAACTGTGACGAGGAGCGTGACTGCTTATGTAGGGGATGAGCCTGTGCAATGGAGCCATCACTGGACTCTGGTCAAGAGCTGGAGCCATCACTGGACTCTGGTCAGGAGCTGGAGCAATCACTAGACTCTGGTCAGGAGCTGGAGCCATCACTGGACTCTGGTCAGGGGCTGGAGCCATTACTGGACTCTGGTTAGGGGCTGGAGCCATCACTGGACTCTGGTCAGGGGCTGGAGCCATCACTGGACTCTGGTCAGGAGCTGGAGCCATCACTGGACTCTGGTCAGGAGCTGGAGCCATCACTGGACTCTGGTCAGTGGCTGGAGCCATCACTGGACTCTGGTCAGGGGCTGGAGCCATCACTGGACTCTGGTCAGTGGCTGGAGCCATCACGGGACTCTGGTCAGGGGCTGGAGCCATCACTGGACTCTGGTCAGGGGCTGGAGCCATCACTGGACTCTGGTTAGGGGCTGGAGCCATCACTGGACTCTGGTTAGGGGCTGGAGCCATCACTGGACTCTGGTTAGGGGCTGGAACCATCACTGGACTCTGGTTAGGGGCTGGAACCATCACTGGACTCTGGTTAGGGGCTGGAGCCATCACTGGACTCTGGTTAGGGGCTGGAACCATCACTGGACTCTGGTCAGGGGCTGGAGCCATCACTGGACTCTGGTCAGGGGCTGGAGCCATCACTGGAGTCTGGTCAGGGGCTGGAGCCATCACTGGACTCTGGTCAGGAGCTGGAGCCATCACTGGACTCTGGTCAGTGGCTGGAGCCATCACTGGACTCTGGTCAGGGGCTGGAGCCATCACTGGACTCTGGTTAGGGGCTGGAGCCATCACTGGACTCTGGTTAGGGGCTGGAGCCATCACTGGACTCTGGTTAGGGGCTGGAGCCATCACTGGACTCTGGTTAGGAGCTGGAGCCATCACTGGACTCTGGTCAGGGGCTGGAGCCATTATTGGGCTCTGGTTAGGGGCTGGAGCCATTACTGGACTCTGGTTAGGGGCTGGAGCCATCACTGTACTCTGGTTAGGGGCTGGAGCCATCACTGGACTCTGGTCAGGGGCTGGAGCCATCACTGGACTCTGGTCAGGGGCTGGAGCCATCACTGGACTCTGGTTAGGGGCTGGAGCCATCACTGAACTCTGGTCAGGGGCTGGAGCCATCACTGGACTCTGGTTAGGGGCTGGAGCCATCACTGGACTCTGGTTAGGGGCTGGAGCCATCACTGGACTCTGGTCAGGAGCTGGAGCCATCACTGGACTCTGGTTAGGGGCTGGAGCCATCACTGGACTCTGGTCAGGGGCTGGAGCCATCACTGGACTCTGGTTAGGGGCTGGAGCCATCACTGGACTCTGGTTAGGGGCTGGAGCCATCACTGGACTCTGGTTAGGGGCTGGAGCCATCACTGGACTCTGGTCAGGAGCTGGAGCCATCACTGGACTCTGGTTAGGGGCTGGAGCCATCACTGGACTCTGGTCAGGGGCTGGAGCCATCACTGGACTCTGGTTAGGGGCTGGAGCCATCACTGGACTCTGGTCAGGAGCTGGAGCCATCACTGGACTCTGGTTAGGGGCTGGAGCCATCACTGGACTCTGGTTAGGGGCTGGAGCCATCACTGGACTCTGGTCAGGAGCTGGAGCCATCACTGGACTCTGGTTAGGGGCTGGAGCCATCACTGGACTCTGGTTAGGGGCTGGAACCCACGTGTGTGCAGCCCACACTTCTAAAATGGCTGTGGGCATAATGGTCAGCTCTGCATTCTCAGGAGCTGACACTGGGGTGGGAACAGGCTCTGGAATTTCTCTCACTGGAACAGACTGGAGAATTCCTCTCATTCATACAGACTGGTGAATTTCTCTCACTGGAACAGACTGGTGAATTTCTCTCTCTTGAATAGACAAGGTGAATTTCTCTCACTGGAACAGACTGGTAAATTTCACTGACTGGAATGGATTTGGAAGTGGATTCTGGATGTAGGGACCTGAGAGGGGAAGATTTCTTCAGGGCCTTTCAGACGGAAATAACTGCAGGCCACTTTCGCTCCCAGGTTGGCACTGTTCAATACCAACTTCTGTGCTCGAGGGAAGACTGGAGACTCTGGCTTGGCGGCCATGACGGCTGGTGACACTTGTGCTCGCACGAGGAGTGAAGATGGCGAAGGACTTGGAAGGAGACTGGTGGTGTATGATCGCTTGATGGACAAAACCTCTGATGGCTGGAGTGGACTGGAGAGAAAGTGACTGAATGGAACTGGTGTCTTCTTCAACCTCGCCAACAGAGAGGGAAGAACCACCTAGCCACAGCACATGATCAATGTAGCTCTTGAGGGAACAAGTGGTAGCTGACGCCGGTATCTGGTGATAAAGATGGTCATCTAATCCACCCCAAAACATGATCTTCATGGTACCATCATTCCATGGAACCAAGTTGGAAAGTTCAGGAAATTCTCTTACCTAATCTTCAATTGGATGACCATCTTGAAAAATGGAGATGAGCAGATTCGCTGGATCTCTAGAGGTGAGGGAAAGGCTCATAGTGCGGCTTTTGTTGTTGTTGTTTGGTCTGGTCTTCTGTCATGGAACAGAAGAATGCAGATACAGGTAACGTCTGAACAGAGTCTTTTGAATAACACACATGAAGTTAGCAGGTAAGTCTCTGGATAGCAGATTTTTATGGTGATACTGGCCAGTGAGTGACAGGTCTTATCTGTTGCAGGTTGAGATGAGAAGTGACCGGAGGACTGAAGTCAGGCAGACGAGGATACACAGAAGACTGAAGAAGACGAAGGGCTGGACAGTTCGATGCACAGGTAGGTAATCCGAAGGCAAGTAGTCAGGTGGAAGTTCAGCGTTCAATGACGAGACCAGATAACTGTGATGAGGAGCGTGACTGCTTAGGGGATGAGCTGGTGCATGGGTGATGAGTGATTATCTGTGGAGGTGTGATAATGGCTGACTGAGGGCAGGTGGGGACCAGACGGGATGCTGGGAAGTGTAGTTCTGGTGACTGGGCTGGTGACTTGGGACAATAGGCATTTTTGCTCCCATATCTTGATTTTCAGTGACATTCTAATAAGCTTCAGTGAAAGTGTGCACTATTAAGGCCTGTTTTTTTTGGGCGCCGGGGTGGGGGAGGTTGGGGGGGGTTGGGGGATAAAAGTGATTGACATAATTGATAATATCAGCTCACACATCATTAAAACAACAATTACAATATTATCCTAGACGATACATATCGCATACTCCTGCTTGATGCTTTGACTTGTTTTGGAAATGTTTTTATTGTGGGAGAGGAAATTTATGAACTAACTGGCCAAATAATGTCTGAAATATATCTTGCTATTAACTGACATTAAAAAATATTATTTCAATTTTGGATTTGGCTTGTGTTTCAGATGTGAATGAGTGTGATCTGGCTCAGCCGTGCCAGCATCAGTGTTTCAACCTGCTGGGCTCGTACATCTGCCAATGTGATCGGGGTTATGAACTCGCCCCGGATTCAGTCTCTTGTGTGGGTAAGTGTTTATTCTGCATGTTCCTGTGCTTGATTTAAATATGCTTGATCTGAGTACACTGCCTACTTTCTCGAAGGCATTAGTTAAAGCAGTGAAACACGCTCCGTGCTTATATAGCGATGAGAGCTGCCAAAAGATCCTAAAGAAATTATTTCACTTAGATAAGTGTACACCACATTTTGTAAATCAGCAGTCCACAAGAGGGCGTTACAAATATTAGTTGACAAGAAAGTGCTGAATTAAACCAGACATTCAAACATTTTATATATTAATTTAAATATGCATCAATATTTAAAAAAATACCCTATTGTAATAAAATATAATGAATTATTTATGGGCCAGTTGTTTAATGTCTGTGATCCATTGCGTTGTTATGTGAAGATCGCATTCGTAACATGACATTCTGACTAGCACATAACATGCATATTACATATTTGATTTGTATATTTGTGATTAATTTCATATGTTTGGGTTGAGTTAGTTAACCTGCTTACAAAGTGCTTAAGTTTACCGATGTTCATTTACTCAACAAAACCAAAATGCATTTGAATGTGCATTTTTATCTAAAATTCACCAAATGTTCGATTTCCACATTTTAATTGGACCGCAGCACAAAATGTCATTCTTCATCATCAGCTAGATTGTTCTCAGCCTTGTTTTAGACAAAGATCACGATGCCTTAAGTCAAGTCACCTGTAGGCAATTTCCAGTTCAGCTGTAAAGCAGCTCTAAAAGACAATAGTGTCATCATTCAGATCATATCAGTTTAGTGTTGATTCAGTTCAGTTCAATAACTGAGCAAAGGTCATCAATTATGAAACAATAGTGTGGTTATTCAGCTCAAGTCAGTTCGAGTTTTGTTCTCATCTGACAGTGTCAGTGCAGTCAGATCAGTAAATCGCTCCTTATATGTGACGGTTGGTTGAGTTGTATGTTGTTCTGGTGTGTGTCCAGACATCGATGAGTGTGCGTTCTCCAGCTACATGTGCCAGTATGTGTGTATGAACAGCCCGGGTGGATATTCCTGCTCCTGCCCAGACGGATATCAGCTGCAGAGAACAAGAATGTGTCAAGGTATCGGCCTCCTCCTTCATAAGATATAATGCTTGTCTTTGCCTGGCCTTTTTTCTCTCCATCCACACCCAGATATTTCACATCAGAGCAAGATGGCCAGGAATTCCCAAACACATCATGGAAACAATGCTGGGCTCAAATGTTGCTTCACCCCCTGTTATTTTTATTTCTTTAATCGATATGCATGAAACAAAAAGGCTGTTTATTTGTTCTAAACCGAGGGAAAGATATTAGCTTACGGTTGTGTTTGTGTGTGTGTGTGTGTGTGTGTGTGTGTGTGTGTGTGTGTGTGTGTGTGTGTGTGTGTGTGTGTGTGTGTGTGTGTGTGTGTGTGTGTGTATCTTGCTACAGTCTTGTCATGGTGCCCAACAATAGGTGTGCTCATGTAAATGGAATTTCCATTGGCAATTTTACACTCTTAGGTAAAAAAAGGTTAAATGGAGTTCTAAATAGACTTTACGCCAAAAGGGTTCTATGTATATAAGGAGCATTTTTTTAAATGATGGCATAATACTTTCAGGTTATTTAATTTTTTTGTAATTAAAACCAAAATTAATTCATTATAACTAAAGCCACAAAACGATCTCATGATGGGAAACCCCAAAATGTTCTATATATGAAGTGCCCTTTAAGGTTCTAGAACCTCTTTTTCTAAGAGTGTACTTCTGTAATTTGACGCATTTCTCATAAATTACAAGACAGCAGTGCAATCAAAGCAACATAAGATAGCACATTAATCAGGAAAAGCTCATTTAAAGAGATGAGTTTTAAGAAGAGATTTAAAAGTAATAAGACAATTGTGCAGATTTATAAGTTAAAAGCTGAATCACGTACTAAACGCGATATTTATAAGTAAGCTAGTGTAATTGATGAAGAACAGGAGAGATGTGCTCAATGGAAGTGGTTCTAGTAATTATGCCGGTGGCTGAGTTCTGGACCATCTGAAGTCTATGGAGAAGTTCGAGAGATAGCCAAATAGGAGAGAGTTACAGTAATAGATGTGTGAAGAAACTAGAGCATGTACAAGATGCAACTGGAATGGACAAAGACAACTGATGCTCGTATGTGGGAGTATGCTGAGCGAGTGACATTATCAACGTGTGTTTCAAACGACAAGCCACTATCAATGGTGACTCCCAAACTCTTAACCCTAGAAGACGGGGAAATTATAGAATTATCAATGTTAAGTGAAAAGCTGTCCAAATTGGATTTAGTGCCAACAAGAAGAACCTTAGTTTTATCTGTATTTAGCTTGAGAACACTTTCACAAGCACCAGGATTTGATCTCATCTACACAGTCCAAGAGGGAAGAAGAAAGAAGAGTAAAATTAGGCTTGAAGGCCCAATAGAGCTGAGTGTCAGCCACATCGCAGTGGAAATTAATACCAAATTTCCTACAAATTTGCCCAAGAGGTAATAGGTAATAATAAAAGAGGGCCCAAGACGGAGCCTTGAGGAACACCAGGGGTAACAGATGAGGAATGTGATCTGAAGTTTATTCTGAAGACAAATTGAGTGTGACCGGAGAAATAGGATCTAAACCGAGTGAGAGGGACCCCAGTAATACCAATAGAGATTAATTTATCAAAAATAACTTGATAAAAATTGGTATTAAAGGCAGAACTTAGACAAATAGACAAGTTAAGTTTAGAGTCCAAGATGCCAGATTTCTTAGCCATTCGAGTTATTTGATTCGAGTTGTTTGGAAGTTGTAAGATCTGCATTCTCATATATTATATATATATATATATATATATGACATATTGCTAATCACAATCTTTTCTCTGGAATGGAAGACATCAATGAGTGTGACACGGGCCATGAGTGTAGGGAAGATGAGATGTGCTGGAACTATTACGGAGGGCACCGCTGTTACCCGCAGAACCCGTGCCAGGAGCCGTACGTGCAGACGGCCCAAAAGTAAGTCGGGACCCTTTAAAGCTTTGATCTAACTCATTTAAGCATGGGGAAAAAGAGTAATCTTCTTGCTTTGCTTCCTAGCCGGTGCTCGTGTCAGTCCGCGGCCGCGTGTCGAGGCCTGCCACAGTCTATAGTTTACAAGTACATGAGCCTTCATTCAGAGCGCAGCGTACCGGCAGATATCTTTCAGATTCAAGCCACAAACATCTTCCCCAGCGCGCACTACACCTTCAGGATCAAAGCTGGCAATGATGGAGGAGAGTTCTTCCTTCGGGTGAGTAACAACACGGAAAACTGTCCTAAGCCCTTGCCAAATCAGCCATGGCTTCAGTGCAGCACCTGAAACCACTTCATTATATTATTACTTTCTGCCAGAACATATTCTTGGCTGTTTTAAACATGTTTAACCCTTGTGCGCCCGTATGGACATTTGTGTCTTTTTCAGTTTGTTTGTTTTTTGATCATTTTACCAATGCCAACTGCATACATTTTGGCACAGGTGTGTATTTTTATTTTACCCCCATTTCCTTGAAAAAAAAAACGATTTTGCACTTGTAACACAGAACAGTTTCACTCAAAAATGTCCGCATTGAAAGCCATTAAAACTGCAATCCCAGGGCCATTTAACTATAAAACGATGCAGTCTTTGTCAAAAGACTTTCAAAATTTCAAGGCTTCAAAATTAAAAAATGTACTATTTTTTACCAGATTGTGCCAATTTCTCAGGTTTGGCCTTTAAAGCAAATACTCACTTTATTCCTGACTCACTTTATTATTGAGAGCCCATTGGATACATCATGCAGCTATAATTGTGTGTGTGTGTGTGTTGGTGTGGATGTCAGAGTGTGGTTTGAATGTGTGTAAAAAAATGATGTGTGTGTGCGTTTTTGTACTCTACTGCAAATCACAAATCCAGTTTTAATCTGTGTTTCCGTTTCACAACACAAAGTTTTACTGCGTCTAATGGGGAAATCTGGCACTGAAAGCTCATTTTTATCAACCTCAAATTTGGAACACAGCAGTTTTAACATAGTTTAATCATTTTCATAAACTTAAACCTCTGTTACTTTTGTTTTGTATCACTTTTTCACTTTTTTTTACTTCAGCAATAATCTGCCAAGGGTCTTCTTTAACATGAGACCAAACTCTGCGCTCCTAAGCTTAACATTTTATGACAATATTTTTTGACACGGACAGTTTTGTCCACTATGGACCTACGTATGTGTAACTGTTTTTAAATGACGCACAAGGGTTAAAGTGGTGGCTTCATTTTAGCATTGTCAATTTGTTTTTAGTGGTTTTGAAGCAGAAAGAAAACATAAGCAAAGATTGTTTCAAAGCATGTTTACAGTGATAAGCAGAGAATGATTCAGAGTTGAGTTCGGCTGAGCTCTAGGAGAAAACAGTGTGTGTGTGTGTGTGTTCGTCTGAAGTCAGTTCAACTGTTGTGGTCCGACCACTGGGTGGCGCTGTAAGACAACACGCCATTCATTGGCAAATGCAGAGTTACTGATCACACTGTGCACTCAGTCTTTCCTTCTTATCCCGTTTGAGCAGATAGACAAGGCGGTGTTTATCACGTAATCCAGTGTTGTTTTCCCTGGTCGCACAACATCAAATATTAATGTCTTGATCGTGTTGAACTCAAGTTCAGAAAACAGGAAGACATTAGGCAAGAGCAGAGCGGGATACTTCACACTGGGGAAATAGAGTTAAACTTGGGTTAGTTCAGAAGTGAATGTAATTCCTATGGCTTTCCATTAGAGATATGTAGATCTGTTGAGACGGCGCTGGATCGGGTTATGGGTTTATTTCAGCATTTGGTGAGTAATGTGAGTTTAAAAAGAACGTCACCTTTTAAAAACACTCTTTAATTCAGGTGTGTGTGTGTGTGTGTGTGTGTGTGTGTGTGCGTGTGTCTGATTTGTGTGTGTGTGTCTGATTTGTGTGTGTGTGTGTGTGTGTGTGTGTGTGTGTGTGTGTGTGTGTCTGTGTGTGTGCGTGCGTCTGTGTCCTTGTGTTTGTGTCTGTGTCTCTGTGTGTGTGTGTGTGTGTGTGTGTGTGTGTGTGTGTGTCTGATTTGCATGTGTGTGTGTGTGTGTGTGTGTGGCTGATTTGCATGTGTGTGTGTGTGTGTGTCTGATTTGCACGTGTGTGTGTGTGTGTGTGTCTGATTTGCATGTGTGTGTGTGTGTGTGTGTGTGGCTGATTTGCATGTGTGTGTGTGTGTGTGTCTGATTTGCACGTGTGTGTGTGTGTGTGTGTGTGTCTGATTTGCACGTGTGTGTGTGTGTGTGTGTGTGTGTGTGTGTGTGTGTGTGTGTGTGTGTGTGTGTGTGTGTGTGTGTGTGTTCTCTGCATCAGCGCTTCAGCAGTGTCGGAGCGATGCTGGTGTTGTCTCAGTCTCTGGAGGGTCCACTGGAACTGATCCTGGATCTGGAGATGATCACTCAACACACACTGATGAACTCTCGCTCCAGCTCTTTACTGCGACTCACACTCGTCGTGGGACCCTACGCCTTCTGACACTCCTGCTGCTTCACACACACACACACACACACACACATCCGGGCGCGCGCTGTAAAGAACCGCCAGGAGTCCTCACACACACCGACTCTTACTCAGCGCTCCAGACACACACTAACATGTTGCTGATGTGCCGATCATTTTAAATAAAACTGGTTAAAACAATATTGGTTTCTTCATATTATATCATCAGTCGTGATCGGCTGATATGTAGTTCAGTATTAGTTCATATTTAGCTCTCCTTGATCTGTAATGTGTTCATAAACAGAATATGAGCATGGAATTTTGAACAAAAATACACACTCACACACTCTCACACACACACGGTAACCCTTTACTTGAAGCGGTGTGACTAAGACTGACATGACACACATCATGAATATGAAGGAGGGTTTATGCATGTTTATGATAATTGTCATTAAGTGTCATTCGCTCAATTATGACATTTTAATGCAAATATGACATTGTTTGAGATGTCTTTGTTATGACACCTTGACATTACTAAGACAACACAACCTGTCATAAATATGTCATAAACAGTTAATTATCAAACTTAAGAAACGTTACATTAAACGAGTAAATCAAGTTGTCATGACAAAGACACTGACAGGTTATGATGTATTGGTTGATGTCAAGTTGTCATAACAAAGACATCTCAAACAATGTCATATTTGCATTAAAATGTCATAATTGAGCGAATGACACTTGATGACAGTTGTCATAAACATGCATAAAATCTCCGTCATGTGTCCTGTCATGATTATGAAGGCGTCATGTCAGTCTTATGCACACCCCTTCAAGTAAAGTGTTACCACACACTCTGGATACAGATCACAATCTGGATACAATTACAGACAGCGAAAAGTTTCCTACAGTTCCCGTCACGCTGAAACCTCGTGATTATGAATCATAATGAGAGCTGACTGAGACACTGAGTTCCTCACTCTGTTCTTCTGGCACAATATCACTTCATAATGCTGAGGCTCTCAGGCTGCGTGTTTTAATTGTCCCTGTGTTGTTGACAAACTCTAAAAGTTTAAATGATTCATAATCGATGATTATTCATAAATCTGGAGCCCTGCTAATGTCAGAAACACAACACACATTCTTACAGTATCGTGTCTTTATTAATGTTCCTGCTATGGTTGCTCATAACTCACTGATGTGAAGGTTTACGTGACTGACTTTCTTTTGTTCAACATTTATCCATTGTTTAACAATGTTACATTACCAACACTAGTGTGTAAAAACAAAGCTTTAAAAGGCACAATTTGTTTTTTAAAGATATAAATGGTAAATAGTGGTCATATGTTAAAGCGCACACTTTAGATCTTTTGCTTGATCTGTGAGTAAACACTGTGACCTACAAATGAAAGTTTTCCAGCGCTCAGTATATGTTTCACATTACATTGTTAATATACAGTATGATTTGCACTGATGGCAATAACCTGATTGTGGCTTTGCATTGCATTTTTTTTAATCATAATTCATCTGCTTTTTAATAAACACTTTTGTCTGCAATACCTCTCTGGCTGAAACACAGATGTCCATATCCACATCTCAGAGCCTTTACAAAATACATAAAATCTGTTAATAATAGAACTTTTTATTTTATTAAAATGTATTTTTAATTGTTGACCATGACTTTGTACTCTTGAACCAGAACAGTTCAAATAAAGGGGGAAAAAATCTCATGTTAAGTTTTTTTCATTAATTGTTTTGTTTCTTCATGTAATGGTATAATCTGTGTGAGCGAGAGTTGGCCAGTAAGAGCAGTTCTGCACTGGGTGTGAGTGAGAGTTGGCCAGTAAGAGCAGTTCTGCACTGGGTGTGAGTCAGAGTTGGCCAGTAAGAGCAGTTCTGCACTGGGTGTGAGTGAGAGTTGGCCAGTAAGAGCAGTTCTGCACTGGGTGTGAGTCAGAGTTGGCCAGTAAGAGCAGTTCTGCACTGGGTGTGAGTGAGAGTTGGCCAGTAAGAGCAGTTCTGCACTGGGTGTGAGTGAGAGTTGGCCAGTAAGAGCAGTTCTGCACTGGGTGTGAGTGAGAGTTGGCCAGTAAGAGCAGTTCTGCACCGGGTGTGAGTGAGAGTTGGCCAGTAAGAGCAGTTCTGCACTGGGTGTGAGCGAGAGTTGGCCAGTAAGAGCAGTTCTGCACTGGGTGTGAGCGAGAGTTGGCCAGTAAGAGCAGTTCTGCACTGGGTGTGAGTGACAGTTGGCCAGTAAGAGCAGTTCTGCACCGGGTGTGAGTGAGAGTTGGCCAGTAAGAGCAGTTCTGCACAGGGTGTGAGTGAGAGTTGGCCAGTAAGAGCAGTTCTGCACTGGGTGTGAGCGAGAGTTGGCCAGTAAGAGCAGTTCTGCACTGGGTGTGAGTGACAGTTGGCCAGTAAGAGCAGTTCTGCACCGGGTGTGAGTGAGAGTTGGCCAGTAAGAGCAGTTCTGCACTGGGTGTGAGTGAGAGTTGGCCAGTAAGAGTAGTTCTGCACTGGGTGTGAGCGAGAGTTGGCCAGTAAGAGCAGTTTTGCACTGGGTGTGAGCGAGAGTTGGCCAGTAAGAGCAGTTCTGCACTGGGTGTGAGCGAGAGTTGGCCAGTAAGAGCAGTTCTGCACTGGGTGTGAGCGAGAGTTGGCCAGTAAGAGCAGTTCTGCACTGGGTGTGAGTGACAGTTGGCCAGTAAGAGCAGTTCTGCACTGGGTGTGAGCGAGAGTTGGCCAGTAAGAGCAGTTCTGCACTGGGTGTGAGTGACAGTTGGCCAGTAATAGCAGTTCTGCGCTGGGTGTGAGGGAGAGTTGGCCAGTAAGAGCAGTTCTGCACTGGGTGTGAGCGAGAGTTGGCCAGTAAGAGCAGTTCTGCACTGGGTGTGAGTGAGAGTTGGCCAGTAAGAGCAGTTCTGAACTGGGTGTGAGTGAGAGTTGGCCAGTAAGAGCAGTTCTGCACTGGGTGTGAGTGAGAGTTGGCCAGTAAGAGCAGTTCTGAACTGGGTGTGAGTGAGAGTTGGCCAGTAAGAGCAGTTCTGCACTGGGTGTGAGTGAGAGTTGGCCAGTAAGAGCAGTTCTGAACTGGGTGTGAGTGAGAGTTGGCCAGTAAGAGCAGTTCTGCACTGGGTGTGAGCGAGAGTTGGCCAGTAAGAGCAGTTCTGCACTGGGTGTGAGCGAGAGTTGGCCAGTAAGAGCAGTTCTGCACTGGGTGTGAGTGAGAGTTGGCCAGTAAGAGCAGTTCTGCACTGGGTGTGAGCGAGAGTTTGTGAGCGAGAGTTGGCCAGTAAGAGCAGTTCTGCACTGGGTGTGAGCGAGAGTTGGCCAGTAAGAGCAGTTCTGCACTGGGTGTGAGCGAGAGTTGGCCAGTAAGAGCAGTTTTGCACTGGGTGTGAGTGACAGTTGGCCAGTAAGAGCAGTTCTGCACTGGGTGTGAGCGAGAGTTGGCCAGTAAGAGCAGTTCTGCACTGGGTGTGAGCGAGAGTTGGCCAGTAAGAGCAGTTTTGCACTGGGTGTGAGCGAGAGTTGGCCAGTAAGAGCAGTTCTGCACTGGGTGTGAGCGAGAGTTGGCCAGTAAGAGCAGTTCTGCACTGGGTGTGAGTGACAGTTGGCCAGTAAGAGCAGTTCTGCACTGGGTGTGAGCGAGAGTTGGCCAGTAAGAGCAGTTCTGCACTGGGTGTGAGTGAGAGTTGGCCAGTAAGAGCAGTTCTGCACTGGGTGTGAGTGAGAGTTGGCCAGTAAGAGCAGTTCTGCACTGGGTGTGAGTGAGAGTTGGCCAGTAAGAGCAGTTCTGCACTGGGTGTGAGTGAGAGTTGGCCAGTAAGAGCAGTTCTGCACTGGGTGTGAGCGAGAGTTGGCCAGTAAGAGCAGTTCTGCACTGGGTGTGAGTGAGAGTTGGCCAGTAAGAGCAGTTCTGCACTGGGTGTGAGCGAGAGTTGGCCAGTAAGAGCAGTTCTGCACTGGGTGTGAGCGAGAGTTGGCCAGTAAGAGCAGTTCTGCACTGGGTGTGAGCGAGAGTTGGCCAGTAAGAGCAGTTCTGCACTGGGTGTGAGCGAGAGTTGGCCAGTAAGAGCAGTTCTGCACTGGGTGTGAGCGAGAGTTGGCCAGTAAGAGCAGTTCTGCACTGGGTGTGAGCGAGAGTTGGCCAGTAAGAGCAGTTCTGCACTGGGTGTGAGTGACAGTTGGCCAGTAAGAGCAGTTCTGCACTGGGTGTGAGCGAGAGTTGGCCAGTAAGAGCAGTTCTGCACTGGGTGTGAGCGAGAGTTGGCCAGTAAGAGCAGTTCTGCACTGGGTGTGAGCGAGAGTTGGCCAGTAAGAGCAGTTCTGCACTGGGTGTGAGTGACAGTTGGCCAGTAAAAGCAGTTCTGCACTGGGTGTGAGCGAGAGTTGGCCAGTAAGAGCAGTTCTGCACTGGGTGTGAGCGAGAGTTGGCCAGTAAGAGCAGTTTTGCACTGGGTGTGAGCGAGAGTTGGCCAGTAAGAGCAGTTTTGCACTGGGTGTGAGCGAGAGTTGGCCAGTAAGAGCAGTTCTGCACTGGGTGTGAGCGAGAGTTGGCCAGTAAGAGCAGTTCTGCACTGGGTGTGAGCGAGAGTTGGCCAGTAAGAGCAGTTCTGCACTGGGTGTGAGCGAGAGTTGGCCAGTAAGAGCAGTTCTGCACTGGGTGTGAGCGAGAGTTGGCCAGTAAGAGGCAGTTCTGCACTGGGTGTGAGCGAGAGTTGGCCAGTAAGAGCAGTTCTGCACTCGGTGTGAGCGAGAGTTGGCCAGTAAGAGCAGTTCTGCACTGGGTTGTGAGCGAGAGTTGGCCAGTAAGAGCAGTTCTGCACTGGGTGTGAGCGAGAGTTGGCCAGTAAGAGCAGTTCTGCACTGGGTGTGAGCGAGAATTGGCCAGTAAGAGCAGTTTTGCACTGGGTGTGAGCGAGAGTTGGCCAGTAAGAGCAGTTCTGCACTGGGTGTGAGCGAGAGTTGGCCAGTAAGAGCAGTTCTGCACCGGGTGTGAGTGAGAGTTGGCCAGTAAGAGCAGTTCTGCACTGGGTGTGAGCGAGAGTTGGCCAGTAAGAGCAGTTCTGCACTGGGTGTGAGCGAGAATTGGCCAGTAAGAGCAGGTCTGCACTGGGTGTGAGCGAGAGTTGGCCAGTAAGAGCAGTTCTGCACTGGGTGTGAGCGAGAGTTGGCCAGTAAGAGCAGTTCTGCACTCGGTGTGAGCGAGAGTTGGCCAGTAAGAGCAGTTCTGCACTGGGTGTGAGCGAGAGTTGGCCAGTAAGAGCAGTTCTGCACTGGGTGTGAGCGAGAGTTGGCCAGTAAGAGCAGTTCTGCACTGGGT